AAAGTGGTATATGGTCTTGAGTATTTAAAACACAAATTATTTAGATTTTGTGTTTCATTTAGCGTCAGTTTTGCTAAAGAACAACCTCAAGAATAAGCTTGATATTGCTGATTTTCTTTGTTGTCCTTTTGATAGATATTTTATTAATTTCTGATTTTGTTTTTGTTAGCATGCCTCTGTTTCAGAGTATTTAATTTCTGTCCTTTTCTAAGTTCTGCACAGAGGTGAATAGATCCGACTCTAGTTCCTGCTCCTTCTTAGGCCTGGAGGACTTGCTCAGGTAGCCAGCACTCCCTTCACTGCTAGCTAAGTTGGTGCTGACCCTTAGGTCTGCTGTGCTCATGCTCTTCAATCAGATTTAAATTTTCTGTTGTAATTTCCTGTGGGCAAGGGGCTTTTCATTCAAAAGCTCATAAATTAATTTACAGACTTCTGGGTATTTTCCAGTCAGCTTCGTGTTTCTGATTTCAAGCTTTGGAAAGATAACATGGTCCTCGTGATTTCATTTATGATACCTTGAGGCTTGCAGTATTCTAGGCCAGGGGTCAGCCAATTTAGGTGAAGATCACTGTGCTCTTGAAAAGAATATGTACTCTACAGTTGTTGGGTGTATGTTCTACGGATGTCAAAATCAGTTTGATTAACTTTATTCCTCAAAATTATTTCCAGGTGTGGTGGTGCCTGCCTAATAGAGGTTGAGACAGAAAGGTCCCCAGAAGTTCAAGGCCCTCTGGGGCTACACAGTAAGTTCATGGGCAGCCTGGACTACGTAGTGAAACCCAAACAAACAAACAAAAATTATTCTAATCTTAATAAACTTTTGATAGGTTTACTTTTTCAATTCCAGAAATGAGTTTTGTTTGTAATGATTTTGAAACCCTCACTTTGTAACCTTTGTAAATTTTTGCATTGTGTTTTAAGAACTATGTAATATGGTACATAATATTTTAAGATCTTTCTGTTATCAAATATCCTCCTTTACTTTTTGGTTTGAAGTCTCTCTATCTGATGCTAATAGAGCTAACATATTTCATTTGGTTGATATTCATATACCTTTAAAAATGTTTAATTTCAGTGAGCCTGTATTTTATGTTTAAGATATTTTACCTGTAAAAAGAATATTACTGAAAATATTTTAAAATGAAAACTTTTGTTTTTGCTGAAATATTTAATTCACTCTGGTTTCCTATTGTTTCTAGTGTGCTTATATTTAATCTCAGGTCTTACTCGTTTTTCATTGATTCATCTGTCCACATTACTTTTTATCTCATATGATTTTTGCATTAATTAACCTTTGATTTTAAGATACCTTACTTGCTTTTCAGCTAATCAAAGCCTGCTCAAAATCATCCGTGTTATTATCTCTCATTCAATGTTTTTACTCAGTTTACATTTTTACTTTTCCTATAAGTAATTGAGACTAAATAACAGCATACTTTATCAAACATGATGAAATAAACTCCCCTTTAAAGTAACTGCACATATTTTATGCTTTAGCCCTGTGAATTTTTAAACGGAACCTAAAACTCCTCTCTAAATCAGATACTTTTAAATTTTTATTTTGTGAGAATGAGGTGTATACTTTTCAATTTTTGAAAATGAAAGTTTAGTTGATTTGAACTGAAGTTAAATATCTGCATAAAGACTTTTTAAAAGTACAAACTAAATTATATATATATAATTTAGTATATATATATATATATATATATATATATATATATATATATCTTGGATTACTTACCTGGTGAGTGCTGCTGAGCTATATCCCTAGCCCTTTATATAGATAATCTTAAAGTTTATTGTTAACAGATACATAAAAACAAAATACACACATATTAATGGGCTATGAAGTGATGTTTGATACATGCATACATTAAGAAATGCTTAAAACAATTTAAACGAACTTATTTCCTCAAACATTTAACATTTATTTATGCTGAAAACTTTCATACACTTTTCTTAAGCGTTTTAAAATGCACAGTTATTATGGTATCTGTAGTCACTCACATCAGAGCTATGCACACCACAGCTTTATGCTCCAACTCCCTGTCACTTAGCATTCGGGGATCAGCCTGTTCCCCCTAACTCCTCTGCCCCAGTTCAGGTAGCCATGAGTCTCCTCTCAACTTTTCTGAAACGACTAAGTTGGAATCTGCATACAGTGACTCACATGCTATTTTTCTTTCTCTGCTGTTTTTTTTTCCCCTTGACATAATGATCTCCCATTCCATCCAGATACCAACAAATGTCAGAATTATATTTTGTGTTTTTGTGACTGAATAGTTTTCTTTTGTGTCTGTCTATATGTTCTTTTTCTTTATTCATTCATCAATTGATGGAGCTTAAGTAGTTTTCACTTATTGGCTATTTTGACCAATGGACATGGAAATTCAGATGTCTCTTTGATATACTGATTCCCTTTCCTTTGGACATATACCTGGTAGTGAATTTGCTGAATGACATGGTAACTCCATTTCTAATTTTTTTGGGAAATCTCCATACTGTTTTCCAAACTGGTAATTTACACTGTTACTGACAGTGCACTAGGGTTCTATTTTCTCCTCATTGGCAATAGCACTTGTTAACTTTAGTCTTATTGATGTTAATCATTCTTATTGGGTGAGGTGGTATGTCACTGTGGCTTTGATTTGCACTTCTTTAGTGACTAATGACATTGTATATTTTTGATGGACCTTTCAGCTGTTTGTATGCCTTGTGAGAAATGACTATTTAAATCTATTGCCTTCAAGTATGTAATGGCTAACAATAAAAATGCAAACAAACGCTCCAATTTATTAAATTTAACAGTACAAATGCTATGAGTTGGCAGATATGGCAAAAACAAAATTACCTAAACAGTAACTTTTTGTAAAGATAAAGAAAACAGTGTTTCTATGAAAGATGCAAAGTAATTATAAAGCTTAAGTGAGACTCCATTAAAAATTTTGATAGAAAGGTGCATCGTTTGGAAAAGAAGTCAGGCTTTCAAAATTTAATTGGCTTCCCACATCTAAATAAATTTAATATTACTTTTTATTGAAAATTTGATAGTTACATCCCATATTTCTGTTACTTTCTGAAAGTAAAGCAGAAACTAATTAAACTAATCAAAGGGCAGTTTCAGATGATGACTTTTATTTACTAATAAGACTAGTGAAACTGCACAGGTCAAAAATTATCTATTAAAAATATTTGAAAAGGATACACTTCTCTGTCAATAGTATTCTGAACATCTGTTATGATTTGTGGGTGGATGTCCCCCAAAGTCTCATGCAGTCATGGGGCAGGTTTCTGGTTTGGGACTGTTTCATGGTCCAGTGCTAGGATTGTAGATGTGAGTGCTACAACCATCCTAGGGCTTGATACAATATAAGGGACAAAAAAACTTTCACACTCCTTCATTTTTGATCTTGTTGCTTTTGCTGTCTTCCACTACTATGAACTCTGCCACACCACTCTGCCTTGGAGCCAGCTGAACGTGAACCAAAACTTCTGCAAGCTGTGAGCTAAATAAACTTCTCCTTCTTTAATTGTGGGTGTCAGGTATTTTGTTCCAGCAGTGAGAGGAAAGTAACTAACACATCTTTCAATAATTAAAATTCCCTTCTATTTCAGCAGATTGTGCTTTTTTTCCCCATCTGCTAGAATAGACACAGCTTATGTTTAATCAGCAAATGCATAGCGTTTTTCACATATAGTTTTTCCTTAGTCACAAAGTGTCTTTAGCCAGCAGCACAGCGGTTCACAGATAATGAGTAGTCATCAGGTTTCAGGAGCAGTTCTCAGAAGAGAATTTGGTCAGCTGTGGTGATCATAGCTGCTGTTTATAAAATCATCACTGCCACTGTCTCCCTACCCACAAGAGGCCCTAGGGACAACTGTATCAGTCTCTTGCATTTGGACGTGGTTTGGTGTCTAGTCCCAGTCAGTGAGTCACAGGCGTGTAATTGCTAATGTCATAACCCAGCATGCACTTGGTAATACAAAAACTGACTGATTCTTTCCCTTTTTTTTTTTTTTTTTTTGATGCGGAAGCTAAAATATTGTGCAACGGTGGGTGGCCATTCCATTACCCTAAATCCCCGAGTGACTGCAATTACAAAGGCCTTGTTAGTGTAGGGCGCGGACAAGAGATAAATCCTTGCCATTTAAAGCCACTAATGCAGTAATCCTCAGCTGAAATCCTGTCACCTGTGATTTTCCATGGAGGTTTCTATCCCTAAGAATGCAACACTCATTTTTCAGAAAATCAGTGAAATATTGTTTTGATGGGTATATAATTCATGCCATGGACTCCCATTTTAAGCACATATACTTTCTCAGAAATTATGTATATAGGTCTTTACTCATGTACTCCAATTTCTTATTTCCTAGCATCAATAAAAACTTAAATTGTTGAGTGAAATGACTTCAGCTGTTATACTTTCAGTGTAGTACCCTTACCAGTGACACCACCATTAATGCCTTAGTTTATTAAAAATATGGATTTCTCCTAGGCTAACCCCAGGGTAACTGAGTTGAAGTACAGTAGAGTTGCAGAATATCTTCTGTGGGAAATATTCTGTTACTTTTATACACACACAAATTGCGTCTCAGAGATTTTAAGTAAATTTATCATTTGTTTTACTTTTTCATTGTTCAGCTTAATGTGTGACTTTTCCTATTCAGATTGGAAATTTAAAGCAGGAATCATTCAAGAGCTACATGATCATTGGTAATGTATAGCAATTCTAGTGTCACACTGTGTACAAAAAGATACAACTCTTTCTATACAAGGAAAGGTGTGCAAATATAACTCAAACAAAAGTCAACGAAAATATAATTTTCTGTCACATTTTGCAGGAATATTTATTATCCAGAGCTACTGTTTTCTACTGTTTTCTCTGATGGTTCACTGATACTTCTTACCATCATATATATATTGTCTTAGTTACTTTTTACTCGTTGCTGAGACAAAATACCTGAAGCCCAAGTTGGGAAAGGAAAGGTTTATTTCTTACAGTTTTTGGAGGTTTCAGTCCACATTCAGTTGGCTCCAAGACAGGCGGGCATGGCTGGGCTGCCTTTCATGGCGGCTGCAAACAGCAAACAGGAACTGGCAAAGAGCAAGACACACCTTCTTCCTGCCATTACATCACATCCTGGCTCCACCCCTAGGTGGGTAGAGCACTGACACCATCAATCCAAGCACTAGAAAATGAACGAATCACAAATGAACAATGCAAACTCATGAGGCCTGGGGGTCACAGACATAAACCATGACATATACATATATATATATATGTGTGTGTGTGTGTGTGTGTGTGTGTGTGTGTGTGTGTGTATAACATAAAGCTTCAATTCACAAACACTTCTGTTCACACACACAAAAGCTCAGTTCTCAAAAACTTTTGACAAAATTTTGCTTCTATTCACACATTTCACATCATGTACAAACACAGCCACAATCACATTCCCCAAAATTGTAAAACAAATTAGTTTTTGAACTGACACACCACTATGTGTACTATATGTGTGTCTGTCTATCTATCTGTCTGTCTATCTAGTTGTTCTTTGCCAAATAATGTTCCATGTGCAAGAAATTCATAAGAAATAAAGTAGAAGTCATTTCCTTCAAAATCTTTACATAAAAATGAATATAATAATCAGTGACCATCAATCTTTAAAAAATGTATTTAGTTAATAATTTGTACTGTGCTATGAAGTGATGAGAACTATGGGAACTCAGAAGGACAGGAAAGGGCTGAGTGATTTAAGAATATCGTGAATCACTGCTGAGAATGATTTCAAGTTACAATAATCTGGAAGGAGGCAGTGGAAATGACCTTTGAACGAATGCTTAGAACAAGTTTGTAGGAATCGTTTGATAATAAAGTTTTCAAAATATCTGGCTTTACATAAATGAACAAAGACACATTTAAAGGTCTTTATATTCTACTACCATTTATTTATTTATCGATTTTTGGATACTGGGAATTGAACCCAGCGCCTCATGCTTGCCAGGCAGGAGCTTAATTTGTTGATTTTTTTCTCTACCTGTAAACCTCTCTAAAGTAGCAGTGTATCTTGTCCAAAGTTACCACTGAACCACACAAGGCATAAATAGAAAGCCTCTTAAAGCCTGCACTGCAGAGTAAGTGACTGATAGGAACTGCCTGGCCTGCTCCTTTTGCATGACTCATATAAATAAGACCTTGCCTTTAGCAGACAAGAATTATGTTCTTCCTAAGACTAAATCCATTTCAACCAAGATCATCTCACATAATTATCTTGTGTTGCGTTAGGAGAGGGCCAGGGAACAGTTTTGTTTTCTGTAATTCTGTTCTGGAATTTTGCATGTTAAAATTTATCCTTAGTATTTTTCTTTAAAGTTTTATGTTCCTGAGCCATCTCCAAAATTGACCGTTTCTTGGGAAATGATATGTCTACTTTACATATGACTTGTAGGCTAAAAATGTCCAACCAAGCATTTATGGGGAAATATTTTATTACCAACTGAAAAACAAATGACTGACTGAAGATAAATTAAAATGCTAAAGTTGCTAAAAAATAAAACATCTGAGACAAGATACTAAAGAGAACTTAGAGTCTGAACCTTTTCTACAATGTAGATACAAATATGTTTCTTAAATAATCCAGCCCAACTAACGCAAACTAATTAAAAAATAAAGAGGCTTCTAAATTTCTTGTTTTCTTAAATGTTCTTAAATTTCTTGTTTTCTTATGACTGAGTGTATAAGTCACTTGGTTAAAGTCAATGAATATTCTATTAAGAAGTTTAAGTATTTATCATAAGCACTTAAAAATCTACTGCAAGGAAATATTTGTTTGAAAACACACCTCTTTTATGAACCACTATTTTTACTATGAATCTTGTTATTTTTGGAGAAAGAGGCTAAAGAAATTTAAAAATTCCTTGATCACATTAAAGGAAATCAATTGTTCCTACTGGGAAATTCATATACTTTAATAATGACCTAGTAATATATTACAAGTTATGTTGCACTCTAACCAGAATCATAATATACTATCTAGCATATCTGAAAATAATGCAATGTTAATTTATTAATTTCTGGTATAAAATAGTGGCAGCTTTTAATTGTAGCATAATATGTGTGTGTGTGTGTGTGTGTGTGTATATACATATATATATATATATATATATATATATATATATATATATTTGGCTAATAGTAAAAATATTGCTTTTATTTTTCTTACGTTTAGGATAGGATTTATAAGTTGTTGAATAAAAATCTAAGGAAAACAGCAATCAACAGAAAGGACAAACTATGTGTAATGCTTTCCATGTTCAACTGATCCCATGAAATAATGTCCCCAGCATGACTTGAGAAAAGACACCATGTTGGTCACAGTGGCTCATGTTACAACTTAGAGTAGCCACAAAGTGAGATTTCTCTGCCAGTTTAAATTAGAAATTTGATAGATAAGTGTCAGTATTCTACTGATTTGCATCTCTTTATATTATTCTCAAATAAAGAAACAAAATACTCTTCCCCATCAAAGTACCATGAATCTTATTTTTAAAGCAAAGCAATCCATATAAGCAATCTACCTCAATTTACAGAAATCGGGTTTGAAAGTTAATCACATCCAACTAAGCTGCATTAATTATTTATTTAATTTTCATATAAGTAGGCAGCTTTCCATTTCTTCCCCTCCCTTTTTAAAGAAACTTTTATTAGCACATGTTTGCAGTTTGATTCCATTTGCTAAAGGGGATGGATACATGTATAATAATACATTTCCATTCCCATCTTTTTGTCTTCTCCATCTGTCTTGATTACACTTTTCTTGTTGCTGAGACGAAATACTTGACGTCCAAAATTAATGAAAGGTTTGTTTAGCTCACAGTTTGTGGAGGTTTTGGTCTGTAATCAGCTGGCTCCATGGCAGGTTGGCATACCACTGGGGCAACAGTTCATAGCAGAGGAAGACAGAAAATGGTGCAAGAGCAAAAAGTGGGGCAAGCAAGCCTCTTTTCCTCCATTATATTGTAAACAGGCTACCACCTCCGCCCTCTCCACCCCGGGGGCTGTAGCACACCATTTCTCTGCCCTCCTCTGGCACAGGCTCAGGATATTTACAAAGTGAGCACCCTGGCCTCCTGCTATGTCACTTAGTTAAACTTCTAAACCTCTCAAATTGACACAGTATATTAACCATTACACCAACCTTCTTTTAAGTTTTCAGCATCAGATTGGTTTCTTCATCTTATAATAACTTGCAAATTTTCATATATACAGTTTGAAAAGAGCCTGTTAGTTACATACAAAGCAGGTAAGACAATTGTACTAAGTCAAGGTATATTTTAGACAGTTTTTTCAACATGTGACTAGCAGTTCATTTTTCCCACTTATCCAACTACTTTAGTCATTCTTTATTTAATTGTGCAGGAATGTGATAGGTTCCAACAGTATGGAGGCTGAAAGATAATACTTGATATGAAACTTAGTTACTTAAGAATTAAGTAAGAGTTATTTTTTCAGTGTGGCACACTATAATTAGTGCATTAACAAAGATGCTAAATTGTACCAGAGATGCAAACCATTAGCAATAGTTGTTTCCACTTTTTATAAAGAGCTAATAAAATTTATCTTCTAAATTTCAATATCAGTAAAATAATAAGTGAAGTAATCAGTTACAAAAGAACTTTAAAACTTTAGGGAATGAACCTTTTTTCAAAGAAAATGACACTATATATGAATGATGCTGAGCCTCACAGACTTTACAATGTATCAGTATGTTTAAGTAATAAAATTCTTAAGGAGACTCTAAAGTAATTTTTGTGAAAAATTATAGAGAATTAACAGAGGGCTATATATGGATATTATTCTAGAAAGACTATTTCTGAGGTAAATATGACTGGTATTTCATTATGTGATAGGCAGATATAAAAAGAATGAGGACTATTTTATTCCTTTGATATTACAGTCCTGATGCAATGCAAGGCTGATGAAAAATAATCTCACTATTATCTGTGTAAGGATGTAAGGGATAGAAATTATATACTCAAAGGCCACACTAAGAGAAACAAAATGAGTTCTCTGGTAGTGTGTGATTCTGTCATACACTCCTGAATGCAGTCTTGGGAACCAAGAATGTTCCATAGTCGACAGTTAAAGATGATTATGCGGCCCTTAATTCTTCCAGATCTTACCAGACAGTCTATGTCTGGGCACCACTGTAAGATTTTGTGTTAATCTCTCTGCTACACCTTCCTGTCAGTCTGCAAATAATAGATACGGAAAACATGTCAGCTCTGGGGATATGACACAGAAAGAATGTTCCCTAAGACCTAAGGAAACAACATCTTGTGTGCATATGAAAATAAATTCCTAGACAATACTGTCTGGAGATGGACTTGCCCCCCTTCTCCTTTAATTATTAGTTCCATATTTCTTTATTAATGATTTGCTTAATAGGGAACAGATTGCCATGCCTTACCTGAACTAAAACTAAAAATGTTTAGTATATACTATGGCTAAAAAGGCACAAATATATCAGAAGACACAATCTGCTTTTCTTTTCTTTGGTATCTTTTAATTAGCCAACTAGACATGATTTTTATGAGGGGTTTTGTGATAAATAAATTATATATTGATGGAATTTGCAATAAATTTTGGATCAAGAATACTAGTGTACTTGAAATCTAAAGCACTATTAGTCTGGCAAGGTAGAAAAGTTAAGAGGCGGCAGTGTGTTATAAGATCTCTAGCGTTAATGCATTCATGTGTTTGTCTTGTCTATTAAATCACTTTACTTGCAGCAATTAATGCAAGTCATTTCTTTAGGACTATTTAAGTTAGCTTTAAAGAGTATATTATCTTCATATTTACACACATTGCTTAATTCTAAATAAAATTGCTACCATACAACAAAACAAAATGTACAGTTTCTGATGAATAGGGCCTCAGAAATATAGTATGTACAAATGAAAACAAGATGTTATAACCTAAGAATAAGGTCTTTTAATAAAAATCATGTTTAATTAATGAAGCATCCTAAATTTTCACTGAAGTTCTAAAAAAGTGGTTCTAAAATTCCTTTCTAAGGAGTTATTTTCATGGAATAAATGGTTCAAT